AGGAGAACTTCTTTGAGCTAAAGATGCCAGGGAATTATTTGTTCAAAAAAGTCTTTAAAGATACTAATAATCCTTCTAAGAAATCCTGAACAAGTCTAGAAATCCCTTGTTCTATTCCCTTAAGGCCGAAGATGCCAAAATAAAACCTTTGAAGCTTTGATGTAATGTATTTTGCTTTCTTCCTGAATGGATGACCATCAAGGATTTGCTGAATAAAGTCTTTCATATTGTCAAAGGAAAGACAGTTGTCATTAATATTCAAAACAACTCCAAAGAATTAAAATGATAAGTACAGAAAAATTGTTATCTTTAACGATCACCAACATTATCGAATATCGACTTAACAATTCCCAAAAGAACTTCAGTGGGATTCATGCTCGACGGTATCTTTCCTTCAGCATTTTGACTTTACTATGAAGCATAATCTTGTGCTAGCCATGAAGATGGCGATGCTTTCGGCAGGAAGACTGATTTTTTAACTGTTCTATAGGCAGAAACTTGTTGCGTTTGATTGTACAGAGTAATGTTCCAAGATTGATGTTCTTTACACACTTCAAGTGCTGAGAAATCACTAATCGCTAAAAATAAGCAAGCAACTTATAAACAAAGCCAGAAGAACGGTATGATCAGGCCGCTATGCAGAAATCTATTCAAACACTTGCATCACTACTCAATAACGCATTGTTGAAAGAAAAGTTTCCTTTAGAAGACACTCCCGAAGATTGTAAAATACCTGACTTTCTTTATAAGGATGGCTTTGAGCTTGCGAGCTAGGTCCTGCGATCGAATTTTACGCTCCAAATTCTTCCGTGCCAAAACTCGTTTCTCGGAATTCTTAATGTGGTGGGTCTGCTCACGTTTAATCAGCCGCTCGATTCCGCTCGATTGCATCTTCCTTTGCAAAAATTTCAGTGCCCGCTCTAGATTTCCGTTCAGTACCTTCACTCGGATCCCCCTCCATTGCTGCTGCTGACAATGAAGGTTCTGCAGGAAATGTATCGAGTCAGTGGTGTGAATCGAAGGTCTGATGAAGCACGATACGTTCCGCGCCAACGAGTTCATCTCTAGGGTTTGGGCCTCGATTTCTCCGTTCTTACAACCGGTGGAGTTTTACGGTAAATGGCCACCGTTAAGAACTGAGAAACTATCCTGTAGTTCTCAGTCAAGGATAATAAATCCCAAGAAACGATCAGGGCCGTCTGATTACTAGGCGGGCCCGGGCCCACGATGGCCTTACAATAAGCTGTACTAAAAGTTATACTAAATGACGAACATATCCCGAAGTCAAAAACGTAATTTCACATTTATCCTTCAAGGATCGAGGTTGTGGATCCGACTGAAATCCACGATCTTACATGGACCTTGGAAATCTTCCTGCAAAAAACAGAGACAAGAAACGATACAGAAGTGAAGCTCCACGAGATAAAAGTAAGTAACTGAAAAATTCTGGCTTACACTCCGAACCGAGCCATGGTTGAGCTCAGGCACTCGAGCTCGCTCGGGAACAGAGCCACTTCCTCGCCAATGAAGCGGGACGAAGACTCGTCCCCTTTAGTACCCGACCGCCAGTCAGACGACGATGACGATCGTGATCGTGATCGCCATTCGATCCGTGATCGCCCCTACTCCAGGCTCAGTTTTCAATCATTGTGCCCTTACTTTGGTGATGATGCAAGGGTTTCTCCATACAACTCCAGGATCTCACTCCTTTCTATCTTTCTACTAGTCACCGCTGGTTTGATCGCTATTTTCTCGATTGTTAAGCGTTTGGTGAGTTCTTCATTAGCTCTGTGCTTCGCATTATTTACTCGAATTTGATTTATTTATTTTTCGTTCGTTTCGTAGTACGCATTCCATGATGATTTATTTATTTGCTATCTGTTTGGTAGCAAGCATTCCGTGATTGATAATGAGGAAAGAATGTCAACGAGCTTCCATTTTATTTTTCTTTTTCCTTAAAATTTGAGGGGGAAATCCACTGCATTTCTACTCATCACAATGCTAAGAATGAGCTACGGTCCAACAAATTTCCTGGTGCTAGATTTAAGAAGCTCAATAGGAATGTGTAACTCGCTGCAGATTTCATGGTGCTAGATTTAAAAAGTCCGATAGGAAAGTGCAAATAGTTGAAAAGCTTTATTTTTTCTAAAATGTTTAAGTACTTTCTGATGTCGATTTCTTTATTGTAGAATTCCCCCTACTTGTGTGAAAAAGAGGGCATTACTCTTCATTGTCCACCGGTAAGTTCCTGGGAGATATCTTCTTTTTCGCATTCTTCGTTTTCTTAAAAAATTGATTTTCTGCTTCAGGTCAAGGAACGTCCTTCACTCTGGGAGAATCCTTATTCAGCAACCACTTCTTGGAAGCCTTGTGCCGAACTTCGTGATTCTGAAATTTCTGGTAACCTTGGTGAATTATCGGAATGTATACTTTATTCTTACTATTGTGGCTTTCCCTTTCTTCTTACACACTGCAAATGTTTGAATGTTCATGGCTTTTGTCAGATCTTCCTCCTGAAAATGAAACAAATGGCTACATATTCATCCATGCTGAGGGTGGTCTCAATCAGCAGAGAATTGCTGTGTGATATCTTTCTGCCAAATTTCAATGTGATTTATACAGAAACTTTTCCTTTCTCCATATTCAATTTAACATCATCCTTTTCTTGCTTGCAGATTTGCAATGCAGTTGCTGTGGCTAAAATACTGAATGCAACGCTTATTTTGCCAGTTTTAAAGCAGGACCAGATCTGGAAGGACCAAACGTAAGATATGTAGGCCAGTAGAGCTGCCTGAGTGACCTTTTGCTATTTTTTTTAATAGTTATTAGATTATTGTTTAATTCTTAAACTGTTTGACTTTAATGCTTAAAATATAAGTGTAGAATTGCTGAAAATTGTTATGATTGTTTAGAAATAAATAATAATGAACCCCATACCAAATGAAACTTTCTGCTCGATATGGTAAACATTCTGCCATTCCATTCACTCATCACATACAACCGCCCTAGACCGATGTATCATTGGTTTTGTTGCTTGAGAATTTTTAAGCTTTATCCTGTTGCCTCCTTTCATCAATCTTTATTTGAAGTCCTGACTCCTAAAAAAATCAAAATTATAGTGGAATTTCTGCATATTCAATCCAACTTTAGTTGATGTATCTCTCTGTTTCTTACAAAAGTATGTTTCTAATTCCTCCAATCCTCGCTGCCAGATTCTTCCTTTTTCTTCTGAATTTGGGGTGTCTGCACCAACTACTCCTCAATTAATTCTGTAAAGCAATAACATTTGTGAGAAACTTTTCGGATATTAAAATCTTGCAGAAGTCAAAGTATATCATGATTACTGCCACTATCTTACGTTTTTAACACAATATGGGCTCTCTTGAAGAGCTATTATCTTTGATTTTGATTGTTGGAATTTAGTCGTTATACCTATTATAATCCTGTCCAAGCCATTTTGGCACTTAAAATAATTTGCATGGAGGAACTCACATTGTCATTTTCAATTGCCTACAAGGGCAAAACCACCTTACTTTAGTTTTGTAAAAATCTAAAATTTGATCTTTCCCTTTTTCTTAAGGAATATTTTCCTAATTTGCTCACTCTTTATTTATAATATTTGTTCACTGTTGAAAGAAACTCTGGCTTTGCCCTTGATTGTCTAAACTAGTCTCAGTTGGTTATCCACTTGTGCGTTTTTCACTGTCCAGACCCTCAACTCCAAAAAGATAAAACCAAATAAAACTCTTGTTCATGTGTTTGCAGAATTCATTTTTGATGTTTCTTCACAACATTATGAAAACAATGCAGGAAATTTGAGGACATTTTTGATGTAGATCATTTCATTAATTACCTGAAGAATGATGTGCAAATTGTTCGTGATATTCCTGATTGGTTTACAGACAAATCAGAGCTATTTACCAGTATAAGGTTTGTTTATTTGTTCAAATGTGCATTTAGTGTTTTTATAGTTTGTTGATTTTCTTATATTTGTTGTTAGCTGTAGTTGTGGTCAAAATTTCAAAGTTCTGTTAGTTACTCAATTGATCTAATTGAAGTACTGTGCTGGATCTTCCATTTTTCATTGGGACATGTTTGTTGCTTAATAATACCATAGGAAAATGGAAAATGCTATCTTTTTATTCTTTATTTAATTTATTTTTATTTTATTGTGAAAATTAATTATTACTGATTGGGTATATGTCACACTATATCAGGGAGGATTATAGAAATAATTTCAACTTCTCTCCTCCCAAGAATTCATTAAAACCAGTCCCTTTTTTTTTTTCGGAAAACTAAACCACGGGCAGTAGGATATGAAATTACTTAGCAATGGATTCCAATATGATATGGAGATGTTTCCTAGAGCCTCAGCTTCCCTATTCTATTCCCTTCAACTCCGTCTCTCAAATTTCCCTCCTTAGAGGGCTTGAACCTTTTTCTTCTCAAGAACCTGGCTAAATCTACAGCCGTGGTGGATGAAATTGCTCATATATTTTATTTTGATTTTTTCTTTGAAGAAGTAACGTGTAATTATCATTGATTCTTGGATAAAGTTTATTGCAGACGTACAGTCAAGAACATTCCGAAGTATGCACCAGCACAGTTTTACATTGACAATGTGCTTCCTCGAATCAAAGAGAAGAAGATAATGGCATTAAAACCTTTTGTTGATCGGCTTGGGTAATTTGTTTACTACTTTAGCTTTTTGTATCAGAGTATTTGTTTTTCATGCATGAAATTACAATCATTAATATTCTTGGCCTTCTGATCTCAGGTATGACAATGTTCCTTCAGAAATCAACAGGCTAAGGTGCAGAGTGAACTATCACGCTCTTAAATTTCTTCCTGACATCGAGCACATGGCTGATGTATTAGCTTCAAGGATGAGAAGTCGCACAAACAGTTCAAACCCATATATGTAAGTATTGTTATATCTGGAATGTTTCCACAACTATAATTATGCATTGGAATCTTGGGTCTCATGCAATCTGTCTACAGGGCTCTTCATCTGAGGTTTGAGAAAGGAATGGTTGGACTATCATTTTGTGATTTTGTTGGGACAAGAGAGGAGAAAGTCAAAATGGCAGAATACAGGAAAAAAGAATGGCCACGTAGATATAAGGTGACCTAAAGTAATTGGTTTTTCCCTATATGTGTTCAATTGTGACTAGATATGATAAAACAAGCCATTCGTTCAATGTCCGTCTTTTATTTGCAATTTCTGTTTTGCAGAATGGTTCCCACTTGTGGCAACTGGCCCTGCAGAAAAGAAAGGAAGGACGTTGCCCTCTTGAGCCTGGAGAAGTAGCCGTAATTCTTAGAGCAATGGGCTATCCGAAGGAAACTCAAATCTATGTTGCATCTGGTCAGGTGTATGGCGGACAGAATAGGATGGCGCCACTGAGGAACATGTTCCCAAATCTGGTAAATTATCTAAGGCCTCTTTGAAACTTTCAAAACTATTTTATGATTCTACACTTTAAAATATTTAATGTTAGTAGATGATTGGCCGGAGTATCAAGTACCAAGAATATGATGAATGATATAAAAATAGTGAACTTGAACAGATCCAATGGAGAAAAACCTTCATATATATTGGTAGCTTCATAAACTAAAAAGATTTGACATTGATATAAGAGCACACTATATTTACAAACAAACTTCTGCAACTCTCGTGATTTCCTAAAATATCTGTAGACATCAAAATTTTACATATTTGAGGCCTCAAGATTTTGACAAAATTGAGATCTTTTCGTTGACATCAGCATATAACTTGTCGGGTACCCTAACTTCTTCCACGTTCTTTATCTGTAAAATCGAACTATATGATACCGTTTTCTTGCCATGTTTTGATATTTTTATTTCAAGTACTGACAGGTTACGAAGGAAGAGTTAGCTACCAAAGAGGAGTTAGATAGCTTCAGGAAACATGTCACCAGTTTAGCAGCATTAGATTTCTTAGTCTGCTTGAAGTCTGATGTGTTTGTGATGACCCATGGAGGTAACTTCGCAAAATTGATTATTGGGGCGCGCAGATATTTGGGTCACCGTCTAAAATCCATAAAACCGGACAAAGGGCTAATGTCAAAGTCTTTTGGAGACCCATACATGGGCTGGGCCCCCTTCGTAGAGGATGTCGTTGTCACCCACCAAACCCGGACTGGATTACCAGAAGAGACTTTTCCCAACTATGACCTCTGGGAGAATCCCCTCACCCCATGCATGTGCAGAGCTTAAATATGAAGACATATATGGCATTTGAATCCGATTGTTTTTGGAGAATCTCCTTCATCAATACCATTTATTTGCTTTGCAAGTGGAAAGTTTCTTCCCCAGATGGAACTGAGAACTGAACGTGGATTGGCTATTGTGAAATGGAGGTTGGCCGGAGCAAGTTGATACCAATCTCTGTGGCTCTATTTTGTATCCTTAACGAGAGAACCAGTTTCAGCAGTTTTGTCCCCTAAGAAGTAGGAGTAGAGATATGATTTTGCATGTGTTCCGGAATGTCGAAGGGTATCTGGTACGTATAAGCAGCTCAGCTCCTGGGATGAATTATATATGAACTGCCCCGAGCCTATGTACCATTTTAACTTTCTTTTTTTTTTTTTTGTAGTTTTATTTGACTTTGTTTTTAGTAAATATGTTGATTAACGTCATTTCTCACATCTTATAGAATAGAAATTTCGAATTTTTCATCCAGTACGTAGGATGTTTTTCATTTAAAGATTTTCTTACAAATGGTGCATATGCCTTTGAGTTGTGATATCGAAGTTGGGACCTTTACAAACGTGAAAATGCATGCTTTCTTTTTGTCCTTTCAAGATAGGATATCTGAGTTGGCCATCTGAATTCTGAACGACTGCGTTGGGTTTTAGTTCAACCACTACAAAACAGTACAATCATGGTTAAGTTACATATTCTATTCTATCCTCATACTTTTAGGTTTTCGTAAGTTTTCAAAATTTGTGATTACGACGTATAATTTTATTAGTTTGACAGTTTATTGAACAAACTAGAAATAAATGGGTAGATGTATTGAGTGATGCAGTTTTGTCTAATTAATTAGTGTTAGTGGCAAAAACCAAAGTTAACATCATTTAAAATGGTCTGCTATTATAAATGACATCGACACTTTTCGGTGTGACGTATGGTGCTTGTTTGGGCCTTCTTTAACAAAAAAAAATATTTATAATATTTATGATTTTAAGTTCATGCTGTATTCTTCATTACTGTTTCACGTCTACTAAGGTGTCCTAATGGTATTGATAAGTGAATTTTCAGGAACAAATTAAAAGAACGACTTCTTCCAAAGGATGA